GATGTTCCTTTGGCTCCATCATACGGTGTATATATATCCCAACTCGTTCGTTATGCCCGTGTGTGTAGTGATGTCATAGATTTTAACGAACGTAATCAATGCATCACTGGTAAATTATTAAATCAAGGATTTCGTTACCATAAATTACGTAAAACTTTTGCTAAGTTCTTTCATAGATACAAAGATTTGATTAGTAAATTTGGCTGTACTTGTAGAAAACTGATTAAAAACGGTATTTCACATCCTAAATTTTACGGTAATATTGTACTTAAAGCGCGGAAATCACTATGTGATCCGTGTAAACTCATCGAACCTTTAAACAGGTTTATTAGTAAAGGTTTTCTTACCAATGTTGTAATTAGATCTTTGAATATAGTTTACAATGGCACTAATATCGATTTTGTTATCAGCAAATTAAAACATAACTAAATTTGTATTTTTTTCAAGTGGGATGTATAAAGACACATCCACGTTCGTTTAGATCTATAAAGAGGTTAAACTCCTAACTATCCTACTGTCTGTCGATACATTTATTTTTGGCATTGCACTAGTCATGTCTTCTTTGACTGTCCATGACGTTAAAATACTAAATCCCTGGGATGTGTTTTAGTTGATTTTAGTCTCTGATGCATGATTTTTTATTATTAATTGTTTTGGCTTTTAACTAGCTGTCAGTCACTGCGAGTACTCTCAAATCGTACTTTCTTGTTTATTTGACCTGTTGATACTAATTGTATTGCTTTTTTGTTATTTAATGTTATTCAGGGTTATACCTGGTCTATATACCAGCTTTGATAAGTGTTTGGTATAACTATAAATTTTCACTTCGTACTATGAACATCAAAATTATTTATTTTGTAATAATATTTCCTTTCTCTATTGGTACTGTACACGTATACCTAACAACAAAATTATTTTCATTTACCTGTGTTTAAAGTTATTGCAAATGGATGGTATTTTTGTTCGAGCATATTGTTTTTCTTTAATTGTTTAACATTTCTTACCGATATAACATGTTACTTTTATTATTCTTCCCTTAGCTTTTTTATTTTGTATTTACATTGTGTCATAGGTCAAATTTATCTGTTCAGTGTATGTTCAATGGTGTTAATATGTCCTTTGATTGAGTTAAGCTATTTCAGTTGATAATTTATAGTGTGTCTTTCTATGTTGTGATGTTACACTATTGTTTCGGAAAAAGGGTGAATGTTTGGTACCATTAAAACGTTTAAACCCGCTGCATTTGTTTGCACCTGTCCTAAGTCAGGAATCTGATGATCAGTAGTTGTCGTTTGTTGATGTGGTTCATAAGTGTTTCTCGTTTCTCGTTTTTTATATAGATCAGACCGTTGGTTTTCCCGTTTGAATGGTTTTACACTAGTAATTTTTTGGGGCCCTTTATACCTTACTGTTCGGTGTGAGCCAAGGCTCCGTGTTGAAGACCGTACTGTGACCTATAACGGTTTACTTTTATAAATTTTGACTTGGATGGAGAGTTGTCTCATTGGCACTCATACCACATCTTCTTATATCTATTTAGATATGTCAAGTGCAGTAAACGCTGTATGTACCAGAGGGACATTCAAACTCATAGATCAAAAATAATAAGCTGATAACGCTATGGCCAACAAAAAAAGACAAAAAAAAACAATAGTACACCAGACACAACATAGAAAACTAGAGACTAAGCAACACGAACACCCCCCCCCCCCCCTTCCCCCTCCCACGCCTCCCCCCCCCCAAGAACTAGAGGAATAGTAAGCAGATCCAGCTTTACATGTACACGGGATTGTAGTTAAAACATAAGGAACATATCCAATATCATCTGTGAAACGGATATTCCGTAACCGTCAACCAACTCGTGATTGCGTCCGTAAAATTAATAAAAGTAAAGTTATTTTGCACCGTCAGATATAAATCTGTCATCTGTGGAATATATCACCAAATTGATGATAATAAAAGCAACTATAGTTATGTATCATGTAGTGGCATCGTAATATCATCACGCTTTTTTGTATCTTGTCATTTAGTCGATTTTTCATCAATAGTATCTTATATCATTTCATTGAGTCGTTTATGTTATCACTATTATTTTGTATGACATCATTGTGTCATGCATGCCATCATTAGTATTTTGTTTGGTTTCATTATGTCACAAAAAACGGGCAAAAAATACCAGAGGGACAGTCAAACCCATAAATCAAAAATAAAAAAGACAAAGACAAACAGACAAATAATAGTACACAAGACACAACATAGAACACATAGGACTAAGCAGCATGAATCCAACAAAAACTATGAGTGGTGTTAGGTGCTCCGGAAGAGTAAGAAAATCCGGCTCCACATGTGGCACTCGTCGTGTTGCTCAATTGTGAACTTTCCTTTCTATGTAACAGCATCCAAGCAGCGCCTACGGAGTATACATCTCCCAAAATAGTCGATTTCGGTAATTCACATTCGTGAAAAGGGAAGGGGATTGTAGTAAAGACATAATTAACATATCCGATATCATATGTGAAACGGTTATTCCATAACGGTCAACCAACTCGTGATGGCGTCCGTAAAATTTACGAAGAGATGACCTCAACTTCACCATTTGGAACTGTTAGTTTTATAGCTTCCTTGTGGGCAACAACCCTCTATCAAGGAAATCATGATACGAAATACAAGCCCGGGAATATCGTATCAATTTGGAGATATATACTCCATATGCAGGCGCTGCTGCAATATTACTACATGGAAATTGAAAGTTCACAATAGGATAGCTGACATCATCCCTTTTGTCCTGAAGTTTTGATTTCAACTGACCCTCATTATCAATTTCTAGATGTAAATCAAGATATGAGGCAGACTTAACCGTATATGTTGTATGACATCATCACTATTTTTACCATTGCATTGTGTCATAAAGGTGAAAAAATGAATGTCATCATTAGTTTGTTGTATCATGTCATCATTAGTTTGTTGTATCATGTCATCATTAGTTTGTTGTATCATGTCATTATGTAGTTTAAGTCGTCAAAAATATTTTGTATCATTTCAACTATTCTTTTTTGTCATCATTAGAATATTGTCTCATTCTTATTAAGTACTTTTTGTATCATGTCATTTTGGAGTTTTCAAATATGGTATCTTATATCATTGTGTCGTTCAAGTATGTCATCATTAGTATTTTGTGTCATTTGATTTTGTCTAGGATGCCGTCATTAGTATTTTGTATTATTTCATTCTATTGCATACGTCATGAGTAGTATCTTGTATCATCATTAGTACATAGTGTATTTTGTATCATTTTTTATTTTATTGTTTATGTCTGTAGTAATTTCTTGTACCATCATTAGCATTTTGTACCATTTCATTGTATAGTTTATGTCAGGAGTAGTTTCTTGTATCATCATTATTATTTTGTATCATGTCATTGTATTGTTTATGTCAGGAGTAGTTATTTTTATCATCATTATTATTTTGTATCATTTCATTCTACATGTTCTATTGCATGTGTCATGAGTAGTATCTTGTATCATCATTAGTACATAGTGTATTTAGTATCATTTCATTTTATTGTTTATGTCAGTAGTAGTTATTTGTATCATCATAAGTATTTTGTGTCATTTCATTCATTTGCATATGTCATGAGTAGTATCTGGTATCATCATTAGTAAATAGTGTATTTTGTTTCATTTCATTGTATTTTTTATGTCAGTAGTAGTATCTTGTATCACAATTAGTATTTTGTATCATTTTATTCTATTGCATATGTCAGGAGTAGTTTCTTGTATCATCATTATTATCTCGTATCATGTCATTGGTTTTTTTTTCATGTCAGCAGTAGTTTCTTGTATCATTATTAGTATTTGTATTATGTCACTATGTCATTTGTGCCATCATAAGTGTTTTGTATGTATCAATTCACTGTGTTGTAAATGTCATGATTAGTATTTATGATACATGATACAAATAACACACTTTGTACATGTATCGATTATACGAAAACATCAGAATATTATTACATATTAGTATTTATATGTTGTTCCCTTGAAAGAATTAACAATAATTCAACAGCTAATAATGAAAATAAGAAGATGTGGTAAGTTGACAATGAGGCAAATACACACTAAAGACGTTAATGTAAATATAAAATGTAAAACAATTTAAACAATTCAAACCAAAAAAACAAACGGTCTTATTTCTGGACAAAGTAATGAACAAAAAATAAATATGATTAAGTAACAAACGACAGCCACTGAATTACAGGCACTTGATATCGGACAGGCGCATGCAGAATGTGGCTGTGTTACACTAGATTATTGGCGCCAAATCCTCCACCTAACCTAGGACAGTATTGTAACAATTCAAAATGAAAAAAAATAGCAAAATCAGTTGAAAAAGGCTTAACTCATCAGATCGAAACAAAGCAGAAAAAATGTCCAACAAAAACAGAATGGAACTGGCAGGGTATTTATACTTCCCCACAACAAATATATGTACAGATCTAAGAGTATTCGAAGTTACTAACAGCTAGCCCAAAACCAATAATAACTGCTAAAAAAAATTATGTATCTATGACTAAAATATCAATCAGTACACATCCAACAACCAATGGATTAAATGTAGAGACGCTATTACTAGTTATGGTAAAACGTGTCCTTGTGCAATACAAAGATAAGTTCATACATATTATGTACACATATGCCAAGTAAATTTTCTTAAAGCCGTCAGATTTAACACTGATTTTGAAATGGTACCAAAATAAATTACGTCAGTGACAAGGTTACAAGCATGGAGTTAATTGGTCTACTGTATATCAAAAGCATATGTAATAATTGATACGATAAATGATTGAGATGAGAATATTTATTTTGTGTATTGTTTTAGATAAAAAAAAAAACTCAATAACACGTCAAATCGATTACGACAATTGTTTATATCATTGAAGATAGACATAACATTCGAAAATGTAGACTACATGTCAAACAATTTTAATTTTCGTATTTCTGCCGACGAACATTTACAGTTTATATATTGCAAAGATTTAATATAACACTCATAGGCTGCATCTTTATCTCCTGATATCTCATTACATACTCCGAGTATTGTTAATGAATTAGCTAATGAGCCTTCTGAAGGAGACGGTGTAAGTGTTAGACATAAATCACGTAATGCCTGTCGTCTGTTGGAGATATCACCAAGATGGTGATAACATAGAAATCTAAGACAGTGAGTCATAAAAACTGGTGGGATCCTGATTGTATGGTCTTTAACTTCCAGTTGTAGTTCTTCTGGTATCAGTGATGAGTTCCATAAGTATTCGATAACACCTATGGTGAATATTGTCATCCTTTCATTCAATGTCATTGTAGAATGTACATCATATTTGTAATTTCTGAAAATTTGTTCTTTTTTTCTGTTATTGAATCCGATTGATATCATGTCAGGTGAACATTTTGATAGAATATAATCCGTAAGTTTTAATGTAGCACTGTACTGTCTTGTCACATAATAATAAGACGCTTATAACAACCAACCAGACACTGCATCTGTCTTGATGCCGTTTTGTAAAAGTGTGTGATAACATTTGCGTATGCTGTACGTTTCACCTTTAGTGTTTGGTGGTGGTAATTTGTGTGCTATTTTAGAACTGATTTCAGCAATATAATATTTACAAATATCAATAATAAATGTAGAGGTTTCTGACTTTAGCAAAGATTTAGCCATTACAAGTCCTTTACAATAACTTGAAATGCCTATTGGTAACGCCGTCATGCACGCAAAGTCACCAATAGTCATGTAAAATAGACAATCTAACATAATCAACGAGAATTCTTTATCTGTACTTGATAAATGGTGATTTTCCGTGACAGGCGGGAATAGATTATTGATTAATCCATCAATCCCTCTATACTTTATACTCTCAAGTACACATAGTAGTATCTTATTGTTACGATGATTGATCTTTCCAAGGAACATATTATGTTCAGGTATGAAATAGTTCGGACAGTAACATGTGGTTACCCATGCAATTATTTTATCGAGACAGAGAGTAAAACAATAATATATTTTAGATAACTGAAACGTTTCAATATCTACTTCCTCCGAAATCCAGAATAAAGCCGTCTTCAGAAAGTAAGAACACAATAAATCTTTGACTACATCATGTGTGTTGACGATACGCTTTAACACTAATTTGAGTAGACCGTAACATAGGAGTTGAGTAAAATTAAACGAATGTATCAGTACTTTTTCTGCAACAGAGAACGACAATCTCCATAATAATTCATTGTATGACACAGTTTTTGGTCCTATAGGTACTAACAAGCACCCGTAATTTATTATCCTGTCAATTACAAAATTAGGTGGCCATTGGCATCGACACCGGAATACCCAAGGAATTGCATCATGAGGTAGATATTTACTACGTAAACAGTATGCTATATCGAAACTATTTCCTCGATTTGATAAACAAGGACCGTGCATCGATAACGGTGTATTATATGTTAGATTTTTATATGAATCAAGAAAGTTGTTTACTGATAGATACCACCCTTTACTTGTACATGTCCCTAGATTACACTGACATTTTTTTTGTACATTGACGTCTGCTGCTCTGCACCTGAGCCTAGTAAATCCAGGATGATCAATATCTGTCTCCATAACAAGTGTTGTACGATGTATTGGGTATTTGATATTACTTATACTCCGTATAACGTCAAAGTAATTTTCTACGTACATTACATCTTTGTCACTGCCTGGTAAATTAAGTCCCTCGCCTAAACTTCCACTTGAAATTTCTGAAGGATTAGACAAACAGGCATTTGCAACCATATCATGTATGATAAACATTCGTTGTCTCTTTCGTATATCTATTTCAGTACCAACTATTTTTACTAGGTGTTTGTATAGGTATTTCTCCCTCGTGTTACTTTCGATGCATAGCAAGTGATCTATAAAAAATGTGTATTAACTTATTCATCATAAAACTATAAAATGACTTTAGTAAATAGAACATTATCTCATTAAGATGTATTCCAAGCAATTTTGTTTATCACAACAGCAATATTGAGTGTTTTGTACAGCAATTAATGTCTACCATTGTATATATTAAGTCCGTATAGTATTGGACAATGTAACTTCTTGTACTAATTTTACTTCATAAAACTTAATTTATATTAATTTTGTCTATTTATTTCATATTGTCCACTGATCTATAATTTTAAATAGTCAAAAGTGACTTATTACCAATGTGTGTTGTCTTTGTGGTTTCTTAATTTTGTCATGGTGTTGTCTGTTTGTCATTTCTCTTTCTTAGTCATGGTGCTATATGTTAGTCATTTCTCTGTCATAGTCCTGGTGTTGTCTGTTCGTTATTTCCTTTTCTTAGTCATGTTGCTTACTGGTTGTCGTCTCCCTTTCTTAGTCATGTTGTTGTATGTTTGTCTGTGGTTTATAATTTTTGATTGAGATCATGCTATTGTTCCCCTTGAAAGGTTGTTTCTGGACTTGCATTGCCTCAACATCTATTTTTTCCTTAAGTTTTAGAACAAAAAAAAAGTAAAATCACAAAAATACTGAACTCAGAGGAAAATTCAAAACGGAAAGTCCATAATCAAATGGCAAAATCAAATGATAAAACACATCAAACGAATGTACAACAAATGTCATATTCCTGACTTGGTACAGGCATTTTCAAATGTAGAACAAATTTATTACCTTTTTTACAATCTGTACACTTCTCTAAGTATTCTAGATATTCTTTTGAAGATTTGTCAGGTTGTCAGGATATCTGAGGTTCAATATCCATTGTTCGTTTGTTTTCCTTCTTTTTAAACCAGCTCTATACAATCGTTCAAACTGACTGATTGCTAGTGAAAAACTTCCTGATGATACATTGTAAATACTTTTAATGAGAATTTCTGATTTTGATCGTATCAAAACAATGTGTGGCGGTCACTTCTTAGTGTCAAATACTTGAATAAGTAAGACTGCAAGGAAATCGAAACACTATGTAAGTGAATCATAATCAGAAACATTACTTTAGTCTTTATTTGTAATGAATAAATTGTCCAGTAGTCATAATGATACCATGTCTAATGAATTTAATACATAAAATTTCAAGAGGTCATTTAAAAACATGTTTTTAGCATTTAATACATACATTTCCTAGTGGTCAAATGATAACATGTCAAATGCATTATAGTAGTTCTTATTGTTTGAAACATGATAAATGTCTTTGCAACTATAAGTGTTTGAAGTCAGACAAGTCATACAATGCCGTTTTTTTTTAGTAAACCAATGAATCAAAATCCAGATTTTCAAAAATATAAGGTCATTTGGTATGATTCCAAACGTAACAACTATCTATAGAGGAGAGGAAAATAATTGAAGTAGTATGTGTCATCATATGGCCTTCGTCAATTAGCAATACCTAGACATATACATTCTACAGTAATTTATAAAAGACCCCAATATTATAACATATATCCAATTGCGTGAGTTATACTACACCAATGAAGCATATGCAATAGAGCAATCGTTTCATTATATGCATGCATCAGCCATCATACGAATTCACACATGTATTCAATAATAAGTGGTTCCAAATTAGACAGTGGCAGGTTTTTTTTATATCTTTTATAAGCAGACAATGTATTAAATTTCATAAAAACAGTTATGCCTGTCCATTCTCACAATATCTGAAAAGACATATCAGCAGAAATATTAGCCTTGCTTTTAAAAATGCTGGCTGATATACAGATAATATTTCATTGGAATAAACTTTACAGTTGTTTTCAGAGCTCAATTTTGTGTCAAATTTTTGTTTTGTTTTCTACAAATGAATAATTTATCTATTACTGTCAATATACTTATAGATTTTAGTCATTTTCCCGTGGATTATTGAAAGTAAAATTGAATGAAAAAAAAACAGAAAAATCTTCCTTCTACAAAATTTTGAACTTCTTTTTCTAGGAAAAGATTACAGTGATGGTATTCTAACAAAAGGATCGAAAATAACTCATCATAAGTGTTAAACACTTGAAAAAATGTACTTAATAAAGGAAAACGAAATTCAATCGAAGTGATGTTTGTCAGAATTATAACTTCATTCTTATCTGTAAAACAACATGTAAAACCATTACCAGTGAATAAATATGTCAAAAGAAGTAAGGAATTATTGTATGTATTTGAACCTTAAAATTAACTGGAAAGTTTCCTCATTGACAGCCATGATCAGAGCTTGTTATAATATTTATGTGCATGGATTGCTTAATTTACATATAATATAAAACAAGTCTAACATAAAAAAAGTTTTTTAGTACAAATATGCGTTAATGATGCTCTTTTGCTTCGAGTTTGATTTGTGGCCTTTTTCGCAAGCGCCACTGACGACTTTTATATTGCGGAATTGTTAAACATGTTCATTTTTTTATAAGCCTCTTATTTCTTATGGTTATTATTTAAAGCATTATCATATATATGAAGAGTTCTGTGTAAAGAACAGTCAGTTTATTGCCGATTATAACACGATTTTATCTTTCTTGTGTGTACAATAAGACAACATGTTTTAAGCTCGTTAATTAAGTACAAAAAGACGAAACAAGGTAACAACAACCCACGAAAAAATCACTTTAACGCCATAAAGGGCGAAACTAGGTGCCTTGACTGGATAAGCGACTCCTGTTGTGCATGATTTAACACAGATGTATATTTTACCTTGTTCCATTTGGCCGCTGAATAAACACGTGTTGCTTCTCAATATAACTTGACTGAATGAAAGTATGAGTTAAGGGAAGATGAAACAAGGAGAAAAATACTTCCTGATGAAACATTGTCGAAACTTTAACTGGGGCTATCTGATTTAGTTTAGATCAAAACAAGGATAGGCGGTCACTTGTAAAAATAAAATTGCAAGGAAATGGAAACACTGCTCATGTGAATCATCATCCGAAATCTTTCTCTAGTTTTGATTTGTTATACAAACTTTTCTATTAGTCACAATGATAACATGTCCAATGTCGTAATAAAAAAAAAGTGGTAAGTGAATCCTAATCAAAAACCTTACTCTAGTTTTAATTTGTAATACATACATTTTCTAGTGATAATGTGATAACATGTCCAATGCATTTAGCACCTATATTTCCTAGTTGTAATAGGATAATATGTCCAACGCATTTAAAACATATATTTCCTAGTTGTCATAGGATAATATGTCCAACGCATTTAATACATACATTTCCCAGTTGTCATATGATACCATTCCCAACGCATTTACTACATACATTTCCCAGTCCTCATGTGATACCATGTCCGATGCATTTAATACATATATTTCCCAGTGGTCAAATGATAACATGTCCGATGCATTTAATACATATATTTCCCAGTGGTCAAATGATACCATGTCCGATGCATTTAGTACATATATTTCCCAGTGGTCAAATGATAACATGTCCGATGCATTTAATACATATATTCCCCAGTGGTCAAATGATAACATGTTCGATGTATTTAATACATTCATTTCCCAGTCGTCATATGATAACATGTCAAATGCATTTAGTACATACATTTCCCAGTGGTCATATGATATCATATTCAATGCATTTAGTACATATATTTCCCAGTAGTCATATGATTCCATGTCTAATGCATTAATACATACATTTTCCAGTGGTTATATATTAACAAATTCAACGCATTTAATACATACATTTCCAAGTGGTAACATTATAACATGTCCAATTCATGTAAAACATACATTTCCTGGTGGCATATAATAAAATGTCAAATATTTAAATTGAAAATGAAAATGAAGAACATGTCAAAGACACAACAACCCGACCAAAGAGCAAACAACAGCCGAAGACCACCAATGGGTCTTCAACGTAGCGAGAAATCCCGTTACCAGAGGTGGTCCTTTGCTAGCCCCTTAATAAAATGCATGTTTGTAGTTCTTATCATTTGATAGATGATAAGTTGTCTGCACATAGAAAAGTTTGGGCCCGACACGTTATGCAATAGTATTTTTTCCCCAATTGAGAGTACACTGTTTAATCAAAGTCCGTACATATGAAAAAAAGGACATTTGGCATGTTTGGTATTATTTAAAATGTGGCAACTTCCTAAAGATGAAAGGACAACAATTGAAGTAGTACATGTCACTGTATGGTCTTCGACAATGAGTAAATACTAAACATATATATTTTTTTTGTAATCTATAAAAGGCAACGGTTTTACAAAATTTGTAACAGTTCAAGAAAGAAAACCTATTGCGTGATTTATACCACAAAAATGAAGTAAATAATAAAAAAAAAATAGATCAACCGTTCCATGCTATGCATGTATCAGCCTCCGTGTGAATTCACACTCAGTAAAATGTAAATAGTCGTGCATAGGACAAATTGTGTTAAAATAATCAGATAAGCTCCGTTTATTTATTATTTTGATTTTAAATTTCGTAAAATTAAAATTCCGTGAAATAATGTTATTGTTTTTGGCAACTAAATAAGATGGCGTGTATGTGTGCATCCGGTGTAAAATTTAAATACTGGGTGTAATCCGTCTTTTGTATGTTTCAGAATGTAATACAAGGTTCAGATGTAAATTCGATATTTCTATATATATATTTGAAGAAATAGCATGTCAATATATTCGAGAATTCAAAATATTTGCGTCCTTTAATGGTACCTTAAGATAGGTTAATAGGGGATATATCGTTAGTTGTCAGCCAATCAGAAACATTGATACAAAATGCTTGATTATTAGAATCACAAATATAATGTATAACGGCGTACATCAGTGCAGACTAAGCATTACATGAAGACGGGCAGAAAAAGTTTACGCGGCGTTTACTTGCGTGCATTTCATGTAAACGCCGCGTTAACTCTGCGTTAACTCCGAATTTTTAGTAGACATAACAAGTAAACGGGCGTTTATTCCCGCGTTTACCTCTGCGTTAACACT